CGGCTTGGAGATAATATGCCTGAACTGTTTGGCTATCGTAGTCGGGAGCGATCCTGTAACATATTGGAACCATGTTGTTCGCTTGTTAATACCTTTTGCCTTAAGAATGTTTTCGAACTGCGTAAACCAGATATCAGGGCATTGGGAGTCGAAAACAGGATTGCACACAGAGAAACCGAGTGTATCGACGTCTAGATTAAACTCTTTGGATATTGTGATATAGTAGGAGGACGGAAGTAGAAGACTTGAGTAGATTGAACAAAACGAAGAGTATTCGCCGAATAAGTGAAAGAAGGTGCTTTTGTTGAACCGGGCGAGTCGAGCGACTGAAAGGAAATCGCGATGCCAGAGAGATTATTCCACTGCGGAGAGGGTGTAGTCAGGCTTGATCACGTCAGGGTCACCAATTTGTAGCGGATTAGCTATCTCAATAACCTTGGCTATTCTCAGAAAGCTCTATAGCAGTTTCTTCCAACTCGAAAGTCCCCGGGAATTAGCTAAGCTAAGACAAAGTTATAAAGGAAACAGACGTGTAGCACAATACGTTTATTCAGTACGTATATTGATAGCGAAGTGTGTTTTTGGCACAGCGATTAGTTATCCGATAAATCTAGCATAATTCGCGTGAACATTAATAGGAGGATTTCTATTGGTGTGATGAAGTTTTCCACAAACAAAACATATTATCGTTGACTTCGATGGCCTTGGATATTGTGAAGTAGAAGAAGAGTCGTGTCGTTGGTGATTGTACGAAGAAGATGAGGATCACCAAGTGAATCGAGCAAAGCGGAGAAAAATCGCCTTGTCATGTAGAGATAGGGTCTCTGCTGAATGTATGGGGAGTATTGTGGGACACGTTATCGCTTTGTCCGCCATTGGGCCAAACATTGCCTCACATGCCAGGCCAGCAGGGTCCAAAAACATTCCCGCAGCTCGCCCTCCGTTTTTTCCTCTCCCTGAAGCCCGTTTCCGCCACATCAACGTCGATATTGTGGGTCCTTTACCCCCTTCGAACTCTTACACCCACATCCTAACCTGCATCGACCGTTTCACGCGTTGGCCAATCGCAGTACCCTTACACGGCACTTCTGCTACGTCGGTGGCGAAGACACTGGTGGATTCGTGGATATCCATCTTCGGAGTTCCCGTCGTTATAACTACCGACAGAGGACCCCAATTTACTTCTGTGTTGTTTCGGGAGTTAAACCAGCTTTTGGGTACGACACACATACGCACCACCGCCTACTATCCGGAAGGCAACGACCTAGTCGAACGCTTCCACCGACAACTTGAGTCCGCTATCATCGCGACTTCAGCTATTGTTAACGGGGCAGAACATCTTTCCATCATTCTTCTTTCCATACGGAACATGGTTAAAGACGACCTCAGATGCTCACCAGCGGAACATGTCTTGGGCACCACGCTCCGGCTCCCGGGAGAAATGATTTCCTGCTCCCCGGATGTGCCGATGGTAGACCCTTTGTCGTACACCTCCCAACTCAAAGAACATTTCCGGTCCGTCCTTCCGACATCCCCCTCGTTTTAGCGATAGATCCACGCACATCCCCAAAGACCTGAATACTTCTCCCTTCGTTTTTGTCCGCGTAGACGCAGTAAGAAGTCACTCCAACTACCCTACGACGGACCGTACAAGGTCCTACGGCGCGAACCGAAATACTTCGTCTTTGACCGTAATGTTACCAAGCATTCCATTAGGTTGAAACCGGCTTATTTGAAACCTCGACTACACCCGCGTCGGATACCTCGTCGACCCCGATTACCCACCCAACTCCTCACGTACCTGTTAATTCCCCAAACACTTCCTCACCATCCCCAACCCCTTTTTACACGTTGTGGCCGTAGAGTTACTTTCCCCTCTCGACTTGTGGATTTTGTATATTAACCGATCCTAACGTCCCGAGGTTTCCTCTTTTTCCACCCATACCTTCTCCCTCTCCCGCCTTTCCATTGTTGTATATTGGCTGTTTTCGAGCGTTTTCTTTCCTTTCAGGCACCCGCAAACGCTCTAGGGAGGAGTTATGTGGGGCACGTCATCGCTTAGCCGACATCGCATGCAAACTCGCGTACGGATCAGGTGCGGCGAACTCACCGACTTTAACCAATCAGAGACACCCATTTGTTTTACCGGATCCGCCATGTTGATAATGACTAAGTTCCTTCCTGTACACAGTACTGGTGTGCTACGTGCTAAATAAACGTGTTTCTCCTCGCTCGTCTCTTTCCTCCATAGCTTTGCAATAGCTTAGCTAGTTTGGGAAGTCCATCGATAGTAAAGATTACTGAGTAAAGTCTATGCTTACTTGTGTAGCAATCCGCTACAATCCTGCAATAAGTACACCAAAATCTGGGGAGTTATTATATCTCCTATACCTTAAGAAGTTGAACAATGTTACCTCCTATTTCTGTGTAAATGCTCGAGTTTCAGCCGAATAGCAAAAATTAGGGCATCCATAGTATACATTCTCGATAGGCTAAACGTTTAAATGATGCGATCTACACTATAAATTTAGTGAAACAGAGCCAATATAATTTATCAATAGCACTTGGAAACTTAACTATCCTTTTATTATCTTTATTTAATTTTCACCTTTTCCAGTATTGCTCTTTGTTTTTGATCCCATGCCTTTTACTTTTAATTTTAACTGACCTTTAATGAAAGCATAAATGAATGTCTTAGCAACAGCATTGAAGGACTCTAAATTAATTTAATAAGATGATCATTTTTGCCTAAATTTGGTAATCTTTAAAGTATATTTACAAAAATCATTTTTTCACAGGCAAAATAAAGGAATTATATTGATAAAATTCAAAATATTTATTCAAAAATCCATTAACATTTAATACATTCATGCTAGTTTAATATTGCCAATTTCTCTGCTAATAACGGGGGCAAGCTCAGAGGTTTCTGCCAGATAGTATTTCCGAATGGGGGACATGTTAGCTTGTAATTCGTAGACTAATGGAATTCCTGTAAAATTATATGCAGACAATGCTGTTAGAAGTGACATTATTTTTAAACCACTCGGTTGAATTTTATCATAAACTCTAAGGGACTAATAAATGCTCATTAGCATCCATTAGGTAAATATATTCGCTTATAAGAGAGTTATACTTGTTGAAGATTGAGAATTCAGTTTGATTTATAATGCTTAAGAAATGACTTGATTTGTTTATTTTTTCAAGTATTTGCCGAGGCGCCTCGGAAAAAATAAATCTGTTCAGAGGTGCCCGGTTCGATTTCCAATTGAAACATCCAGTAATTAGAAAGGTCGCTTACATTTATAAAGTTTGATAATAAAGGTGATGAAAGAATTTGAGTCCTTTCATTAGAGTATTTATGCTGTTGTCTCTTTATTATGGAAAAAAAATTCCAAATACTTTCACCAAAGAGAGTTAGGAAGTCACTCATTTAAGGCATAAACTGGAATGTAGTATGCTACAGGTTGATTACCAAGGCTTTCCGGGAAGACACATGAACATGATTCCAGGCATGCAATGCCGATTATTTTTCGGATTATATTAAATTTTGAAAAAATCAAAGTTACTATTTGTATGTGAGATTTTAGTCGAAATTACCTGTAGGTATATCAATATCCATAATTTTCTCATTTGGAATATTGTCAATATGCTTTAAAAGAGCGCGGATGCTGTTAAGATGAGCGACAACTAATACCCTTTTTCCCTTCTATAAGGAAAAATGCAACTTAACCAATGACTCAAGTTAAATTACTTCGATTTGTAGAAGAATATTCTAATTAAACATGAGGGAATTAATATTAACTATTTTACCGACCTTAATAGAGGGAACGATTTCGTCGTGCCAAAACGGAAGAACACGCTCAATTGTGTCTTTCATGCTTTCAGTTTTTGGCAGTAGATTGGTGTCTAAATGCTAGAAAAATTAAGTTTCATATTTTAAAGTTTCGGTTCCGATGGTTTAAATTAACGTATTTTATCATAACTTAATTTAAAGGTAAATATACCCTTTATAACCATTTTCTTTGTTTACATATAATGCATTAATATCACCTACAGCATATCGTGAATCGAATTCAAATGGTTTAGGATCTGTGGAAATGGGATCTGGTGGTGGGGTATCAAATGAAGTTGTCCAGAGCTTTACTTGGCATTCTCCAAACCTGCTAAACGATTGATCTTTTGACATTCCTTGCAAAGCACCTAGCATGCGTTCATTTAATCTCCAAGATCTGTAACAAAAATAAAATTCAAAATTTTTGTGTTTACTTGAGTGATGGTTATAATGGTCATAGGAAAATTGGATAGTTTCTCACTTTACTGTTGGGATCCAAAGTAAATTCAATTCGTCTAAAGCAATATAGCAAAATTTTATTGCTCTCTTTAATACACTTGTATAGGCGACATCGAATATCAATTCCCTTTGTTTCATCATTTGACCTGACTGTCGGCCCTCGCACTTGCCTCTTGATGACAGATCTGAATCAAGCCAGCCAGCAAATTTATTGTCTTTGTTTAATTCGCATTCACCATGTCGAAGTAAAACTAATCGGTGGCAATAAGATTTTGACACTAATTTTACGAAATTTAAAGTAATAATAAGTCAATATTTACGCATTTAAGAAATACTAATATCTCCACGATAACTTATAACTGTAACAGCAAAACATTTAAATTACCAAAATCATTAGGTCACATCTACTTTTTACAAGTCATAAAGATAAATAATAATGTTACTTAGAAATGTGAGATGAAAGTATTAAAAATAACTTAAATATGGCAAAACAGTGTACTGGCTTATAAAATATAGAATGAGAAATGTTAAAACAAAAATATTTCCATCCCCAATTTAATTTTAATGCCTGAAATTATTTCAACTAGCTTCTCTAGATCAGCCCATCCTGTTATTGACTTTTTGGGAAAGGTTTGGATTTTAAAGGGCTTTAAATTGAATGGTATTCGTTCTTCCTTGCTCTATTCCCAGTTGTGATACGTGACATTCAAGTTAGTACGAATACTGGTAAATAATTTTAATTAATCTTGACCATACAAGAACAATTTGTTGCTAAAATTGTTCCCTACCAGGCATTTATAACGAATCTTTGTGTCTTGTACTTCCTTCGAGTTCAGTTACCGCGGTGGAACAAATAGGTGTAGCAAATACGAGTTTCATTAAGCCTAAAATCTCCAGTGTTATGCATAATATCCTGACTCAGTTCTAACATATTTTGTCACCAGAAATGCGTACAAAGATACAGGCACGATTTTTCTTTCACATTTCCACATTTTTATCAATACGGAGAGGCGGACGCATGTAATTAGGTGCGATGGTTATTGCACCTAGTTCAAATCGGTGATATCTAAAAAAAACTGCCATAAGTTGCAATTAATTAGAACTGGAGGAAAAACGGTTTAATCGAAAATGCCTAGCTTATACAAAAATCGGTTATTCGAGCAAGCAAGAAAATAAATCGGAAAGCATTTTACCCGAGTAACAAAAGTTCCTCCCGGGAATTTCACGGATTCCTCCCAGGGATTTGAAGATCCTTGATTATTTTATATCAGAAATGTATAGGTTGTGACCGGAATAACAATCATAAAGAACTAATTTATTTTTCCTTCCTAAGACAGCATCAGTAGTCGATATAAAGCGTCTTTATAACCTGAACCAATTCCCCAAAAAAGATTTGAGTCTTGTACAGTTAAGGTTCATTTCCTTTATCCACAGCTCCATACAAGAACAAAAAATAAGTACATTGAAAAACCAAACATATACACAAGCTGAAATACAATGAGAGGGGGGAGAGGTCTTAAGTATCAACAATATGTTCAAGAATGCCCTGTTGAATGAGATTTTCACAATCAGACCGATGCATCAAATGTTGACTACCTTTTTTGAGGTTGAGAACAATACCATCTTCAGTCTCAAAGTCTCCATAGTTCTTGAGACATCGCACTTCAAGCAGAAGGGACTTGGGTGGTCTCAAGGATTGCGTGAGATCGAGTCCACCAGCTCCACCCACAGCTGAAATGTCTGCCGTCATAAAATTTGCCAAGGCACTGCAGTAAGTGCTAAACCACCGTACTTCGTCTACTGACAGGTTCTTTTGAATCTCTGTAAAGGGAAATTAAAATATGTGTAAATTACAGAATCGTACTAGAATTCCGAAAAAACTGCCTAGGCGCTATTACACGGCCCAATTGACAGTTGGATGAGTGAATGAAATCAACCCTTCCTTAAGTCGAAGTTAAATGACGTCTTGTTATCAAGATGCATATGACTAGACTTAAATTAATATTTAACGATGGAAACTGTGAATCGTGTTCTCGCCCCCTCGGAAGTAATGTATTTCATATTGATTGATTTGCGCACTGCGTAAAATATTATGAATACGTGGATGTTAAGAATAATCTTACTGTACAAGCTGGCCATTGGAAGGCAAGTGAGTGAAATTTTTATAAAATTCTTGTATTGTTATAATTTACACAGTTGGGAAAGCATTGAACCTTCAGACGAGACGGGGAAATTTTCTTTATTTGCCCCAAAAGAGCCTCTCTTGGGTAGTTTAATAGGCTTGCTCGATTCCAGTGAAATGATTAGTGTGGGGATGATTGAACACATGCACTAAGGACCCATGCATTAAAATTGTTATCATACGAGTGCTTAGCCGGAGGATAAACACTTTTAATAGGGCTTTACAGAATCTATTTCGAAAAGGATAAATAACTACCTAAACGGAATAAATCGTGTCGCAAAGAGATGGATTAGTGATATCTCCGCATCCAATGGGAATACTCCTCACTAACGAAAATAAGGTCTATTACAGCTTTACACAGCAACCATGCAAGTAAATGCTGACAATGCATTTCAATTATCTTCGAGTAATAGTCGTTAATTACCTCATAAACTAAATTGGCATCCACTGAAAGTCTCAACAATTACTTTCGTCACAATATCTGGAGACAGAGATAAGTCATGAAGGAAATGAAAAACAGAAACAGAAGGCGTTTATACTCGTCTAAGGAGTCTAACGAAGAATGCCAGCAATTCTAGCACAATGAAGCAGAAGAAAAAGGCAAAAAAATAAATATTAAGAAGACTGAAGTTTAATTTACCGAGAGAGGGGTGTGAGGTAGACTTACCTCCTCGTGGTGCACCCTGGGCAACGTATAATCATACGGCAAAAAAAGTCTATTAACCGGCAGTTGACTTTTCACTTCAAACTACCATCACCCACACTGTATGTCATATTCGACCCCCACCACAGTACTCATCTTACCCTTTCTGAGCCTTTGTGTCTGTATGTTTCTTTTGTATCTGTGAATCACTCTTCCATTTCCCCTCCCGAATTCTTCTTACTTTGATGTTCTTCCTCCCCTCTGTGAAGCCCGAAGTCAACTAAAGGGCTAATAATAACTATCAAAACGCCTGCCATTTGTTATAAATAAATAAATTTACCGAGAGAAACATGGATGGAGTAGCAATATAAGTAACATTTTCTATTGGAGCAATCGAAACTCGAAAGAGAAGACGTGGGGAAGGGAGTTGAAAGCTTAAGCTTATTGATTCATGACCACTATATTAGCAAATCCTAAATAACAAACTATCGCCGATTAGCACTTGACGTCGATAACTCCAATAAACGACGGAAAAATGTAACCCTAGTGTAAGTTCCCAATAATCTTGAGTGGAAAATTACTCATTTTAATAAACGAGAAGTAGTCATTTTAAAGTGGGTTTAGATTTGCAACTCGTAGTACATTCAAACCTCAAGTATAATAACTTCGAAAAGTCTTGGGGTTTGAAGATATGCTTTCATGAATTTAAAACTCCATTAAGTTTACCTTCGCAGAAGAAATGTAGATGCAGAAAAATTAAGATCCAAAATACCTCAAGTCGAGCCTTTATTCCAATTATAAGATGGAAACATAAAGATTTCGGTCCAGACTATGAAACCCTTTTCTACTTTAGGAGAAAAGTATAAACACCCGAGGAAGGCAAATTCGATTAAACTTAAGTAAGAGTTCTCTTCAAGAACAACTCAACTTAGAATTGGTTAAAATCACATTTTATCAGCTCAAGTGAATTAACTATAACCAAAGTTAAGATAATAATAACTGATTTAATTAGTCACACCAGAGTTTTCAAAATAAACCACTTTTACAACTTTAAGAAAACATTAAAGGCCAGGAGAGACTATAATAGTAATGAAACAAAGGAGAAATAATGTCCCCAAAAAAACCTAATACCTATATGCAAAACTCAGTAATTAAAATATTAAATCAGTTGATAATCACTCAAGATAATAAAAAATAGCTTAGTAGAGAAAAATAGGAACAAAACGACATGCCTTTTGGAATCCAAGCACCATTAAGCCAACGAATATTTTTGATCTGCATCAGCCGAGCATGATGATATGCAAGGAGGCATCGTTTGACGCGTTCAAGGATAGCATGTCGAATGAGAACAGTTTGGACAAGATTTTCGGATCCACTCAGTGATGTGGTGCTTGAGTTAGAGTCCTGAGGTGGCCGTATGCAAGTGACATCATGTCGATTCTCTTCGTACAATTTTGCCATCTCCTCAAAGCACGTACGCACCTTATCCTCGTCATAGGGCGGAAATTGGTCCAAGGTAGTCCGTTTTGCACTTCGTATCAGATCAATGGCAGTATTCGTTACAGACATTTATATGATCTGAAGTCAACTATATTTCTAGATCAAGTGAAAACACAATTAGATCAGTCTGAAGAAATATGCAGATATTGAGTAGGAAAGCTACTGAAAATAGGCCACAAAGTTATTTAGACATCTGCAGTGTTTATAAAATGCAGTGTAATATTTATAGTATTAAACTCTGCGTTACACACAAATATACAAAAATTATTACGCAAACAAATAACGCGAACAGCTCACCTTTTAAGCTGAGATTATGGGCCATGTTAATGTTTTCTTCTATTGGACGCAACACCACGTGCCCCTTTAAATGATTGGTTTTGCGGATGGGTATTTGTTATTTATAGCCCATAAAGAGGATCATTCAAAATTATCTTCATAAAATAGGTAAATAATGAACTAGGTTATATAGACTTAATAATTTTTTAATTTTATTAAATATATCTACTAACTTGTGTCGGGGCTTTAAGAGAAATTATGGTTTAGACTTCTATATTCTAGGATGTGTTTTAAAGACTTTTTTCTTAACTCTTCGATTCTCTAAACGATTTCGGAATTTAAGTACTAAGTGTACGTATAGTTTATTAAGTTTTATTATAGGTTCTGTCATTACCGCAAATCTAATTAATCAATCAGAAGCACTGTGATTCCTATTCTCCCGGTTGTAGCCTAAATTCGTGGTGTTTTGACGAGTTTAAAATAATTTGGTAAGCATGATCTAAAAAAATAACTTTTATGTTTCTTTAAGCGTACATATTTCGGTCCGATTTCGTAACTGTCTTTAATCATAGGCATTAGTTGTATTTTCATTTTGGAAAATCCTTTAATGTTGCAATAGGATAGAATAGTGTACTAGTATTTGGCTTATTTTAAGATTTTATTCCATTTACGATAAAGTTATTCCATATCCACTGGTTCCGGCGGTATGTCTCAAGATTACGCCTCGTCTCTATCTCCATACCACGATAAAGGGATCCTTGGTCTACCAGAAATTCACGACCCAGCATCCTTCTTTGAACAGAAAGTTGAAGTTCTAACCGATCTTCTGCGAAACTCTCGACACACAGTTGTCCACACGGGTGCTGGTCTCAGCACATCTGCCGGTATTCCAGATTTTCGTGGGCCCAATGGTAGTATCCATTCTTTTTCATCTTTATTCCACTCAGGTGTTTGGAGTCTTGAAAAGCAAGGGAAGAAGCTATCAAAGACCAAATCTTTCGTTGAAGCTAGACCTACTATCGGTCATATGGCGCTTGTTGCTTTAGAACGAGCTGGTTACATCCACTATGTTATCACTCAGAACATTGATGGACTGCATTTACGTTCCGGGTTTCCACGCAATCGTCTCTCAATCCTCCATGGCGACGCTTTCATGGAATATTGTGCATCTTGTGGTGCAACTTATATTCGCTCTACCACAGCAGTCCCTACTTTCGGGCAAAAAGAAACTGGAGCAAAATGTACAAAACTGAAGACCAGGTTTAGGAGTTGTGGGTAGGGTTGCGATTTTTCTGTAGTTTAAATCTTACTTCTCTCTCCCCTCAATGTAGAGGAAAACTTAAGGATTCCGTACTGGATTGGGAAGATACCTTAATAGAACCAGATTTTACAAATGCTATCAACGAATCTAAGTGAGTGAATTAACTTACTCTTAATCCTTACTACAAGTGAGGTACCATATTTTGAAATTTATTAATGCTGCTACTTATATTTACCCAGAGCATTTAAGTAGGTGAATGCTAGTGGTTTTGATACATTTTTTTCGTTTATCCTACTTTTATACTTCAAGTTGATGATTAGTCGATTAAAGCACTCGTTATTTGTTTAACTTTTTCTTTTACTTGAAGTATTTTCCCTAAAGTGTGTTTCCACATTTGCTGTGGTTTGTAATTTTGCCAAATACATCCTTTTTATTTTTCGATCGTATTCTTTTCCTGAATTTTACAAATTACTATATTGTTCCCGTTTCTTTAAAGTGTTTTCTGTTAAACTAGTTCAATTTCAATAAATTCCACTATTTCATAGTTTTATAAGCTGTTTCAGAAATTCACCTTGTGCTCTTTGGGGAAAGATTTTCAAAAGCAAAAAGTCTTTGTGGTTCTAAAAATGCAATTACTACGGGCAATCATGCTTTTAGGCTCTTACAGTTATTTTGAAGTCTCTAGCGTTCCAAATCTATCATTTTTGCAAATGCCAAAATATTTTATGATAAAAGGCCTTGTTGGTGCAGATATTCCTTGAATAAATCCCCAGGAGTATCTTAGTCGAACCGATTGGCAGTTCAAGATATCACTTCATTAGTGGTCTATTCCGTGGGCAGTAATTAGCATAGTCATCCGCAGCTATTAGGGGTTGTCAAATAGCCACTTTTCTTACTGCACAAAGAAAATCCAATATTGCCTATGGTCTTAGCTGACTTCATAAAATACTGTAATCGGAGTTAGCTAACGTGGCTCTACATATTTTTGATTGCTCGTGCACTGAATTGAAATATTCTCACCGCTATATTACCAGTTACCTTAGCCGCCAATCGACCCTAAATGTCAGTTATACGCAAGCAACAGTACCTAATAAACGCATGAAGAGAAGCTATTGTTAAGTTTCAGTTTTTCCTTCCGGGCCACACTGTAGCTCTTGTGGACGGCTGGAATAAATAAGTGGCCTTGTTCTGTTAATCCATTGGCCATAAAGCTATTTATTGGTTTTCTTATTTAACATCGAAGAACTCTTTCATCTTCAGTTAATTCCATTGGAAATCGGGTTTCCGTTATTCTCCAAGACTGGACTTTTAGTAATATTTGGATTGGCAGTTATGCAATATTTGTGATAAGGCCATAGTGGTATATCATGTGACACCTATGGTATTTAGAAAAGGAATTAACCATGAGGTAGCCAAGTACACGACTAAATTGTTCCCGCTTTTTATGACATAACATCAGAAACGCGACTCTTCACTTGTGTCTGGGGCTCTCACCTAACTTACTGCCCTCAGCCCTGCTCCCCTTCAATGTCGACTCAATGGCTACCCATCGAGCACTCCTCTCCCATCTTGCAAAGCTCGAGGATATCGCCATCGACCTTGATGAAACAGCAAGCGCAGATAATAGTTTGATTAAATCAAGGTTTGTCTCACGGTGTTTTTTTTCTACCAATTGGGTCACAGTTCATGATCGCATACATCCTTTTAGTTCCCTCGATAACCTTGATCGTCTAATCACAGCGCCCTTCCACCTCACAGACCAAGAAGTAGATGAATTTTTCCTTATGTATATGGCATCTGATGCCCGTTTAGCGAATTGCGCGGAAGCCTTAAGCAATATTTACCTGTCTCCACCTCAGGGTATCACCAAACACTTCAAGTGGACTCGAAAGGTCAATTCTTTCTCGTCTCCGTCACTAACGAAAGCTAAGAGCGAGCGAAGGGGTTTACGGAGGTGTGCAGACTCGGTTTGTATGCCTTTTGTGCTATTTTTCCTCACTCTCTCTGACCACTTTCTCGAACGCTTGCCCCCTAACCAAATTCTTACATGATTTTGTTTGGTGTTCTTTCTTTGAGTGCGTTTTAACACGATATAACTAACTTAATGGGTACTTGTTCTTTTCAGGAAAGCTCAGTTGCATGTCTGCCTTGGATCATCTCTTCAAATCTTTCCCGCAGCTGAACTCCCCTTCCCAAAGCCTAAACGCAATTGCTCCACTCCCGTAACGGCGGAATCGAAACGTAAACGAAAGCGTCTAGATAGTGAGAAAGGTGCCAACGGCATTACTTCTGAATCTCTTGCAACAACGGCATCATCACATCAACAACAACCTAAACAAAGGGCGGTTATTGTCAACCTTCAGGCTACAAAATTTGATGGCATGGCTGAGTTCTGCATGCGCACGGAAATAGATCGTGTATTAGCGCGTGTCTGTAAGAATCTTGGGGTGAAAATACCGAAAATTGAAGAGGTGAATTCAAATGGCCCTTTTATACCAAAGATGGTCTTGAGGTTAGTCTCTCATAGTTAACCTCTACTGACCACCCATATAAGTACAATGTGTTAACTTGATTCCTTACCATTTTACAGATCAATGCATACACAAGAATCAGAGCCATTTCCCTGGACTATTCTTTCTCACCCAGAGAATACAATTTCACCATTTTTTGATGATGGTGACAATGAACAAGAAAGTGTCATCAAAATGGAGAAATCCGAAAATAGGAAGGAAAGCGAGCCAAATGAGGATTCCTCGATTAAGAAAGAATTAGAAGATGGCTCTTGAAGTGCCAAGAAGAGTCTGATGGAGTGATTGAGTAAAAATATCTGACCCCAATCCCTTTGCTCTCTTCCCGAGTATGTGTTTTATATAAATTTCTGCTATAATATGATATCATTGGTATATCTTAGTGAAAACTGTGAAAGTGTACGGATCACTTGTGTTCGTTAAAGCAGTGATCGCATTGACTTTATCTACACATCCAGACTTAAAGAAAGAGGGCAGACATTTTAGCTAATCGAAGACTTTTTTCTTTATTTTGAAAGTAGGAATTGACTTAATTACCGTATATGATCGTGAGGTGATTGTATTTGATCGATTCGGTGCCTAAGCTAACAAATTCCGTTCACAGAATGCTTATGAGTTCTGCTCAAAGTATTGGAAATGTTCGATGCTGATAATCAAGGTTTGAACAGGCTAGAGTGTTAATGGAATCTGATTTATCGTGGACTTAAAATACCTTTGTTTCCTTTAGTAAAGCTACTTCCGAAGCCCTAGATTAGACTAGACATTTCTCGTACATAGTTAATAAACTTCCTGAACCCTAGTGACGGTCTAATTAAAGATAGGAAATGAAAGCAGCATAGTAATAAGTGTCAGCGGAAAGGGAGGTTTCCGAAGCGTAGCTGACCATTTCGAGTCTGCCCGATGAACAGCCAATAGAAAAGCATTCGGCAATTATGATAGCACAGGTTCAATACGTGATCTAGGTAAAATACTGCAGGGAGAACTCAGACGAAATATAAGTCTCAATGGATACAAACAACAGACTTTGGGTTAGAGAACGCTGAACCAAACACCGGCAACCCCAGATTCTTTCTTGAGATGAGTAGTTTATTTTCAGTACACCGTCTCAAAATAATCTGACACTCCAATCAGTGTGGAAGAACACACTACTCTTGAGTTAGTCTAGTGGTTATGTGACCCTTAAAGGTTAGCTGAATCAAGTGTTCAATTTAAATTAATTTCCTATAAGATAAAGTCATTTCGTTATTTCACCACAAATTAGTGGGTGGGCAACTAAGTCATTGCCGTTTTTGTTGACAGATTCACTCTATACCTTCTTTTGTTTTGTTAACGTAGCCAGAGCATCTAACCTATATTTTTTTCTTACTGTATGGGCTTCTAGGTTAATTAGTAAAAATTTTTTTTGTTTAGTTCTTTAGTTTTGTTTTTATCCCAATTTAAAAATGAAAGAACAGGACGTGCACTTCCGACACATTTTATTGTATTACTTCCGAAAAGGCAAGAACGCATCGCAAGCACAAAAGAAGTTATGTGCCGTATATGGAGATGAAGCCTTAAAAGAAAGGCAGTGTCGAAATTGGTTTGAAAGATTTCGTTGCGGTGATTTTTCACTGAAAAGTTCACAACGATCTGGCCGCCCAGTCGAAGTGGATGAAACCCACATCAAGGCCATTATCGATTCAAATCGTCACAGCACAACACGAGATATTGCAGAGAAGCTCAATGTGTCGCATACATGCATTGAAAAAAATTACAAACCCTTGGTTATGTCAAGAAACTTGATTTATGGATCCCTCACCAGTTAAAGGAAATTCATTTGACGCAACGGATTAGCATCTGTGATTCGCCGCTACTGAAACGCAATGAGAATGATCCATTTCTGAAGAACCTAGTTACTGGGGACGAAAAGTGGATAGTTTATAGCAATGTTACTCGCAAGAGATCATGGGTGAAGCAAGATCAACCAGCCCAAACAGTATCAAAAGCAGAGATTCACCAAAAAAAGATTATGCTGTCAGTGTGGTGGGATCACAAAGGAATTTTGTATTTTGAACTCATGCCGCAGAACCAAACGATA